AAGAAAGAAAGAAAGAAAGAAAGAAAGAAAGAAAGAAAGAAAAGAAAACAGAAAAATGCTTCATGACTTTTCCGATGACCCAACAGGTTGTAAGGCAGGTACTAATGATTCAGCTTTGAGAAAAAGAGTAATTTCTCTTTAAGAGTAATTCTAACTAGAATGGCTAAAAAGAAAAGGACTGACAATCCCATGTATTAGCAAGGATACAGAGCAACTGGGGCTCTGAATCTTCGCTGCTGGAGTATCAGTTGGCGCCACCACGTTGAAACTCTTTGGCAGTGTCCAACAACTGCTCCAGCAATCCCACTCCCAGGCATATACTCCGGTGCTTATGTTCACTGGAAGGCATGTACAGAAAGCCCACAGTGCTATAATTCATAATAGTAAAAAACGTGAAGCAGCCGTCCAAGTGCGAAATGGATAAATAGTGGTACAGCTCACACAATGCAATCAGACAAACGATAAAAACTACTATGCAGTCCCACATGGATGAATCTCACACACGATGCTGAGCAAACACGGCCAACATAAACAAGCATGTTGTGATTCTATTTATATGAAATGTGAAAAAGGGAAAACTGATCTATGATGATAAAGATCCGAAGAGTGGTCATCTCTGGGAAGGCTGTAGAGATCAAGTGGAACACCTTAGATCTGTGCACTTTATGGAATATAAGCTATACTTTTTTAATTTTTAATTTGGGAGAGGGTGGGCGTGTGCTTGCCAGACAGACAGAGAAAGAGGGAGGGAAAATGAGCAAGTACCTCCCGTGTGAGATGACCACACCGCGATCCCTTCTATTTCTCCCTTCTGTTGGGATTTTGGGCATGTATGTACACATGCCTGGTGTGTTTCCAAGCCGCTGATCCAGAACCCGAGCTACCCAGTTGGCCATGTGGAATCGAGCAGCCTTAATCGCCACACTACCGGCTGGCCCATTTATACTTCAATGAAGAAAATAATAAAAGTAGATGTCTATTGTGTCTTCTTCTTCCCAGATGAACAACTCATTACTTATTCATCCAGTTTTTCGCTGCTTTGCTTCTTCTGAAAGAGATTTGAGGTGACTTACAAAGGTTTATGGTGTTGAACAGCATTTATAAGAGAAGAAATCTGGGTGATGCAAAAAGAAGGGCAGGAAGTAAGATGAAAGCAGGTGGGGGGGGCTGGATCTCAACATTTATGTCAGGGGGTCCTATGTACTGTCGAGGGTGAGGCGAACGAGTTCCTGGAGGTCCAAGCAAAGAAGAAACAACAATTCTGCAGCCAGAAGTTAGCCGCACAGCTGATCATGAGCTCTGACTGTCCTGAGAGCCGAGAGAAATTTCTTCCGTGCCATCTCAGAAAAAAGGCAAGTATGTGATCAATCCCCATTTTATTGATCTAAAAGTCTGTCCGTTATCCCATTTGTGACCCTGGACGATTAAATCCCTTTAGCCCATGTGTTTGCCATGAGGCAAACTTAGCCATGTCCTCTCTGGTCCCCACAGAATTTAGGAGGAAGCGGCCACTGACATCTGGTCCCTCCTGAAGCCCAGATGTGGGCCTGGCAACTGGACACTGTCTACTTCCCTGGGTGTAGTTTAGGGGCAGCCCTGCGCATGAGGGCTAAGTGTCTGTTCTTTGGCTGCCCAGCTTGCCATCCTCATTTCTGGAGCCTAGGCCTCTGCTTTGCCACTCGGCCCATCTCCTTCCTTGCTGGAACTTCTCAGTGGCCCCGATCCTTCCCCAGCAGCTCTCTGGGGGCTGGACTCCTTCCATTTCGTTGTTTGGGTTAATGGATCTCTCCACTTTCTGGCTCCAGTTTTTGAGTTGAATTCATATATTTCTCCGGTCACTAGAGAAAAAAATAAAATACAAACATATAAACCAAAGAATTCAAAGGATCCTCTCTTCTTCCATTCTCGCCCTGCTCTATCTTGACTCCTGAGAAAGATGAAGTACGCTAGAAGGTGTGAAATCACCGAGTAAGGCAGCAGGCTGGCCAAGAGCACAGTCTACACGCTGCAGGGCCCAGGCCACACAGGTAGCAAATGCTACGCCTCTCAGGACAGAAAGGTTCCGGAGCATCTCAAGGCCATCTCAATTGTAAGAAGAGAAGGCCACATAAATCTCAAGCTCCATGCAAGCTTCAGATAAATTAGGTTCAATTTCTAATGGGGTTGTCCATTACTTCCTGATTTATTTTGTTTGTTTTAAAAGACCCCTGAATCCCCGCTATAAAAATGAATAAGCAAGTAAGGAGGAAAAAGACTTTGATTTTTATTTATGTTAGGTTAGCAGAGATTTGTAGACCCAGACACGCAAATCCGGTCCCACGTGAGAGAATACTAAGGGGCCACTTTGATGGTGTCAGAGCTGGCGGGACACTAATTGATGTGTTGTTCACGTTTGGCCAGTTGGCTCATTCCTTCCATTTTTCTTCTCTCAAACACACAAAAATGGAAAAGTCCTCTCTGGCTTTTGCTCTGAAAGATGGGGTTTCAGGCAAGCCCTTGCTTCTGCCACTTCCATAGGGCAGGAGTGGCCTCTGGCTCAGGATCCCACCAGCACTTATGCTAATGTGGGCACATTATGGTAACAAGTACCTAATAATAGAGGGAAATTTAATTCCTGCAGCAGGAGCAGCCTCTCACTGGAGAGGAGCCATCCTCCTTCTGAGGAAGACCCGAGCGGTTTGCATATGTGGGTGGCAGAGGGCCAACACACTTGCCTCCTGAATTTGGTTTCCTTCCCTTTATTCACATCTATAATTGAGCCTTTGTGAGTGGAGGGATGTGTGTAAAAGAGCTAAATTTGGAGCTGATTTCACGGGGGTGAGGAGAGCTCTGGAGGCCAGCTTTACCTTATGTTCATCTTTCCAACCCAGAAGCAATTCTTGGCCCTGATCTAGGGAAAAAAGAAGCCAAACTTGCCATTTCTTTCTATCTTGCACTACCAAGAGGCTGGTATTAGGAGCATTCGGCAAAGAAATGGTGTGGGAGTGATGAGTACCAATGAGTAGGGGGAAAAAAATGAGGGTTCTTGAATTCACCGTTTCTCTAAATTAGTTCATGAGATAAGAAGGGAGGTCAGAGAGGCACGGTCTTCCAGCCTGAGGTTTCAAGGGGAAAGCTGCCGAGGGCTCCCAGTGTGTGCGGAGTGGCTGGAAGGCAGCCATGTTC